CCATCCAGTTATCCAGCTAAAAGGTGTATTCTTCAACTGCCTCTTCTTGGAAGTCACATAGCATCACTTCCACTGAATTGCAGGAGTTATAGGACTTAGAAGCCCCTGCACAAGTTCAAGGAAAGGAAATTTAGAACTCACTTCTCAGTGGGAGAAATTTCAGTGTCACATTATGCGAAGAACATGTGAAATGGAAGAGAAATTGGTGTGGTTGTCGTCATGGACACCAGTATAGCCTTCCACATCTGTCAAGAGTTGAAAATGTGTGTTAACTTCGACCCAATTAGTTCAGTTTCTAGCAGTTTCTCTTATAAATGTAGATGTATATGTACCCAGAGATTATCTTTGTGAGATTGGCCATCATGCGTTGCACCAGCAAAAAATAGAAACCATCTGAGTACCCATCACTAAGGCAAAGGGTTAAATGAGTCAAATGAGTTATGGTAGGTAATATAATAAATTATGGAATTTATTTATTATAATGTTTACAAACTTTATAGCCACCCTATATAGTGATTAAAAAGAAAGAGGCCTGTTTATGCACATATGACAAGATCCATTAGATACTACATACAACTAAAGCAGGATTGAGACTTTTTCCATTAGAAAAAGGATATGTGTACATATGTATATTTGCGTTAAAAAATCTCTGGAAAGAAAGAAAGTAAACTGATGCAAGCTACTTATAGAATAGGACTGCTGATTTGGGCTGGGAAAGAATATTTAACATATCAACTGTATTCTTTTATCTCTTTCTATTCCTTAGCGTGTATCTGTTTTCCTTTTGTTTAAAAAAACAGGCAAAAGAGGGGTGACGCCTGTGTCTTAGTAGGTGGGGCACCAGCCTCATATACTGAGGGTGGCAGGTTGGAATCCAGCCTTGGCCAAACTGCAACAAAAAATAGCCAGACCTTGTGGTGGGCGCCTATAGTCCCAGCTACTCAGGAGGCTGAGGCAAGAGAATTGCCTAAGCCCAGGAGTAGGAGGTTGCTGTGAGCTGTGATGCACAGCACTCTACCGAGGGTGATAAAGCAAGACTCTGTCTCTAAAAAAAAAAAAAAAAAGGCAAAAGAATACCTACAAGTATAATTGGATATGAATTCTGAAATATATTCTTTAAACGTGAACAAAAGTTGTGAATAATAAGATTGAGTGTGATTTACATTGATTTCAATTGAAATAACCTTGGGGTTATGAAAAAATAAACTCAGACCCACTCAGATGCTATTAATTGGTGATTTATTCACACCTGCACAGGGTGCCGTTGTTCTCAGACAAGCCACCCGAAGGGCAGGGTTTTTTACCTTTTATACCTTTTTTTCTCTGCGTAGCTTAAGCAGGGGGGACGAGGAACGTTGCCATTGGCAGGGTTACAGCTTGGTTGTCAATGGATATGTCTCATGTAACAATGGTTATGATTATATAACAATAATTGATCAGTGGATACATCTCATATCACAATGGTTATGGTTATACAACAGTAATTAATAAAGCCTCAGTGAGTTTTCCAACATTGTTCCTCTACTGAGAGCTTGGGGGTTTTGTGAAACTTGGGACTTTCCGTGCCTCTTTGAATTCTGGAGAGCATGGGAATGGGCTGGGAAGGCCTGTAGGGTGGAGGGGCGGGGGAACGGAAGAGGGCAGGAGGTTGCCCATAGGGCAGGGGGAACAGGAATTCACAACACAATTTTTTAATTTTTCCAAAGGGATCGTGTTTAATTTGTACACTTTTTAAAAAGCTAATGAAATTTAAAAAGAAATGGAATGCCTTTTGTTGGAAGTGTTCTAAGGTCCAGGATGATGGGATTGGAAGTAAAGATAGAACATAGGGTTGCTATGAGTATATCCCGCACATAGCAGCAAGAAGCTTACATCAGTTTGCTAGGACTGCCATAACAAAACACCAGACTGGATGGCTACAGCTGATACATCACTAACCAATGCTGTCCAATAGAAGTATAGCGAGAACCATGAATATAAGCCCCATATCTAATATAAAATATTCCACTAGCCACATTTAAAAAATTATCAGAAGCAAGTAGATTAATAATATATTTATTTAATCAATATAAAATTATTATTGGGATACTGTGTGTGTGTGTGTATAAATCATGTTCTTCAAGTTAAAAGAAAATAGTATGTATTTTATACTTATAGCACATCTCAATTCAGAATAGCTGTACTTCATATACTCAATAGTCTGGCTATTATCTACCATATTAGGCAGAATTGTCACATACAAATCACAAAAACCAAAGATTGGAAAGCAGACAGAAAAAAGTTATATCATGAAGAGAATTAATGTTTAAATGACCATCAGCTTCTCATCAGAAACTACAAAGGCCAGAAGACAATAGAGTGACATTTTACACGCTGAAGAAGGAAAAATATCAACCTGGAATTCTATTCCAATGAAAATATTCTTCAAGAATGAAGGTGAAATAAAGGCATTTTCAGAAAAAAGGAAAATTAAGTTAATTCATTGCCAGCAAGCTTACATTGTATGGCCTGCTAAAAGACATTCTTCAAGCTAAAAGGAAAATAGGCCAGATGGGAACTCTGATTTTACGAAGAAATGAAGAACATTAGAAATGGTACCTATATGAATAAAATTCTTGGTTCTCTCAATTTCTTTAAGATGCATATGACTTTTTAAAGCAAAATTACAATATTGCATTATGGGACTTACAACATAGGTAGATGTCATATATATGACAACTGTGGAGATAGAATTCATTTTCATCAGTACTGGAAAATCTCTGTCTTCATCTGTGGGGATGCTTGGATCTCTATTTATAGACTTGTGGCCAAAACAATGTAAGGGCAGCCTGTGTCTTGTTTAAGATCTAAATGCCACTGGCTATCCCTGGTAAACTTCTTTACTATTAGTTTGCAACTGGCCTAAATGATTTGATAAGCCTCACTTGAATATATAAAATACCCTTGATGAGAGTTACTCCTTTGAGCTCTCCCCAAACCAATATTCTTCACGCAGATCCAGAGACAAGGCATAGTCTATGTGTGCAAATAAGGGAAACTGGGCATGGAATGTCTCTTGGCTTCCCTGCTCTCTTTTTTTCTCTTGAGACATTGTACTTTACCTTTAAAGAAAAGCCTTATGTAAGTATGCTCAGTGAACTCTAGTGGACTCTAAACTGGGAAAAATCTTTGTGACAACTATAGCACAAATAAGAGGTAGTGGTGTCCTATTACTTAAAAGATTCTGGTGTTCAATGTGAAATGAAACATTATCTCTGAATACTATGAATAACCAAGAAGGTATATTATCGCTCTCAGAGTGATCATTAAAAATGCAAAATGGCATAACCAAAAAGTCAACATATAAATTAAACTGGAATATAAAAAAATTCCAAAGAAAGGAACAGAGGGGGGAACAATTAAGCCTAATGGAAGGGCATGAAGTAATAAGTGAAAGATTGCTTTTAACAAATGTACTATTTTGTAGCTTGCTTTTTCATGTGAATCAATAATATATCAAGGTCAAATTCCAGTGTCAGCATAGAGATCTACCTCATTTTATTTAATGGCCGCATAATATTTCATGGAATAAATGTACTATAGTTTGCTTATCCATTCTCTTATTGATACCAGTGTAGGTTGTCTTCAAGTCTTTTTTTTTTTTTTTATTGAATGGTAACTATGTACATTAATGCACTTCTGGGGTACAGTGTGGGGTTTTCACACACAATCGTCTTCAAGTCTTTGTCATTGTTTTTATTTCCTATTGCTACTATAATAAATTACCACAAACTCAGCAACTTAAAACAACACAAATTTATTCCCTTATGGTTCTGAAAGTCCTAATCTGAAATCAGTTTTACTGGCTTAGGGTGAAGCAGGGCTGTTTCCTTCTGAAGGATCTGCAGGGAAAATCTGTATCCTCAGATTTCTCCTTCTGGTGGTTGCCTGCAGTCCTTGGCTTGTGGCCCTTTTGTCCATCTTCAAAGCATGGTACTTAAATCTGAAGAATTCCTCTTGGGTTCTTATAAGGATTATTGTGATTGTGTCAGATATGCCTGGATAATCATCCAAGATAATCTACCATCAGGAGATCTTTTATTTAAACAGATCCCAAAGTCCCTTTTGACATACATGTAACATTTACCGATTCATTATTCAGCTCATCACAACCATTTACTTAAAGTAATGTTTCTGTAAGCATCCTTGAGCAAGCATCCCTATCCAGTTGTGTGATTTTTTTCTTGTGGTAGAATCCTAGAAGTACAGGGACAAAGTGATGTATGTTTTACATACAAAGTGTCCACTAAAGCATTGTACCCATTTGTACTTCATTTAGTTCTTTCATACAAGAGATGCTGTCAGCCCAGCTCTTGCTTCCCCACATTTTGGGGCTTAACTGAGGTTCTTTTTTTTGAGACAGAACTTCAAGCTGTCCCTCTGGGTAGAGTGCTGTGGCATCACAGCTCACAGCAACATCCAGCTCCTGGGCTCAGCCTCCCAAGTAGCTGGGACCACAGGCACACCCACCCACCACAATGCCTGGCTATTTTTTGGTTGCAGCCATCATTGTTGTTTGGCGGGCCCGGGCTAGATTTTATATCTCACAAATCCCTTTATGTTTTTGTTCTGATGACATTTACCTAGTTTCCCACCATATCTCTAAATATATTCTGATTTATATTTTTTTATTTTATTTAATTTGGATTTTGCGTGGAAAAGAGGACGTAAACATGTACGTTCAGTCTCTTACAAAGACCCCGGGCTGAGGAATTTATTTTACCTGTTGGCAAGGACTTTGCCTTTTTCCCCTACCCCTGCTCTTCTCCTCACCCATGTGGCTTGTGTCTTTACCCCTAACTGGTACTCAATAAATACTTGTGGTTCAAAACATTTCATAACTAGTTGATTTGAAATACTTAGAATTCCTGAGACATTTTCACAATTGATTGCTACACATCCCAGTGTCACCTTCTGTTGAAGATGATGGTCTCTGAACAGGAATGGGTTTGCTGTTACAGGAGTCTGTGACATTCAGGGATGTGGCTGTGCTCTTTAGCCAGGATGAGTGGTTGCACCTGGACTCTGCCCAGAGAACCTTGTACCGGGAAGTGATGCTGGAGAACTATAACAACCTGGCCTCATTGGGTAAGAAGTTTTGTGGATAATGAAGAATCTGTTCTAGGAACACCTTGCAGCTTTGACCTTGAGGTTCAATGTCTGTAGTTTTCTCCCCAGATGTACACCTGGGAAAGGTTAAATTGCCGTGGAGTTGAAAGTGTACATTTTTGTTGTGATGCCCTTCTTGCTATTCTTTTCTCCTTCTCTGCCCTTCCTCACACTCGATCCCCAATCAGAGTTTCTGCTTTGGAATGGGCCAATGACTAAATCCCATTTTAGATTCTGGAAAACATAGACATGCCCCATTTTAGAACTGTTTATTGCCAGGGCCTTATATTGTTTCTGAAATGAGTCCTTCCTCCTGACACACATCCTGAAAGCTCCAGCACCCCCAGTAGTGCCAGTGCGGCTACTCTGCCTCCTAAGCCTTGCTTTCTTTGCCTTGGAGGTTAAGAGTGAGTGGTATGTGAGTCCTGGGATTACTCTTCATGCCATTTCTTCAAACGCCATTTCTTTCCTTATGAGCAGGGATTCCATTTTCAATGCCAAAGGTGATTTGCCAGTTGCAACAAGGAGAGGATCCTTGCACTGTGGAAGGAGAAGTCCCTTCAGACTCCTGCATAGGTGAGTGAGAGACTGGGAAATAGGCACAAGGGAGTTTTTAATAGATGAGCTGGTTGGTCATGAGGAGGCAGTACTCTGAAAACATTCTTGGAAATACCGAGCCCTGTTGAGATGCTAAGGGCCAATTAGATGTAATTTTGAGTTGTGTAAATTTTTTAAGTACACACAATTACCTAATTGCAATGACTCAATTTTAATCTATTTCCAATTATGGATTGATTACATAAAACCAGGTTTTAACTCAGAATACTCATGAATCAGCTCATACTAAATCCTTTCATCTAGAATCAGAAGTGAGCTTGGGGCTTAGGTGTATTTCAGAAATTTAGGACACTGACTTCAAATCTTTTATAGATTTTCGTTATTCTCAGAAGATTCCTACAAAGAGAATTCAGTCTTCTGGTTCTAGTTTATTAAAAGAAATGAATATATGTATTTCTCCTCATGTTCAAATGAAAAGGGGAAAGGTGATAAAAGGGAAGTAAGAAGAAAATTGTTACTCTAATAATCAGGTATAGGTTGTTGCACAATATGGTTGTTACTCCATATTTTCCTTTTTTTTTAATAATGAACATCACATCTTGAACTTAGATCAAATATTGTCCACGCAGTCATATTTCACGGCTGTTGTAATTTTTTAAACCTGAATGTCCTCTCTTTTTTTTCTGAGTCAGGGTAGAGTACAGTGATAGCATCATAGCTCACTGAACCTGAGCTGAGCTTGAGCAGTCCTGCCTCACCCTCCTTTGTAGCAGGGCCTACAGCATACTGAACTGAGCTTGGTTAATTTTTTTCTGTATTTTTTAGAGATGTAATTTTTTCATTTCATTTCTCAGGCTAGTCTGCCACTCCTAGCTACAAATAATCTTCCCTCTTTAGCCTCCCAAATTGCTAGGATTATAGGAGTGAGCCACACTGGGCCTGGCCCTCAGTGTCCTCTTTTTAAAAGACTCTTTACTGTTTGACACATTATGGATAGGAAATCACAATCATATATGAAATTATAAAGTTTAAGGGAAACAATCAGAATATTTAAAAATTATTGCATATAGGGTTTCAAAAGAAGCATGGGAAAATAATGAAAGTAACATATGAGTAGGAAGGAGAGAATAAAGACAAGTTGCCCGTCTCATTGCCTAGTATATGCAGAGTGGAAAATGTATCTCGTAGTATTTTAAGTTTATCATCTTACATTTTCTGTAGCCTCATGTCTTCTGCTAAGCATGTTTTGTCTTACTTTACATCTCTCAGGGATCAGTCTCTTCATTTTTAGTGTTAATTTACCTAGTTTATTCTCCTACATCACTCTTTTATCATTGTATCTTTTTTTCCATGATCCATTCCATTTTCCTCCAGGTTCAAGTCTATATTTGAGATCAAATGGTTGCAAATCTGTTTTATGAATATTTTTGGTAATTTTGTGTCCTACTGATGTATCAGTTTGTTTTCTCCAGCAGGGGAGGCATAAATACTTCTGATTTATTTCAGGTTTCAAGACCTGGCCTAAAATAGAAGGATTGCCTCCCAGACAGGACATATTTATAGAAGAAACATCTTGGGGAATAACAAAGAAAGAATCAACTAAGTATAGTCATGGGGACATCAACTTTGGAGAAGCTGTGGAGTCTGAGAGTAGTATAGAACAGGAGCAAGAGAGGAAAACTCATAGGAAAAGAGTAGCCTCACTTGAGAAAACCATGAGTGGAGATGGAAACCATACAAGTCTTGAATTGGGGGAAAGCTTATTTACAAATACAATTCTTGTTACACAACAAGGTGTTCCTATAGAAAGTGTACCCACTATGAATTATACTTTTGGGGGAGATTTTAAACAGAGTTTTAATCTAAGAAGATGCCTCCAGATTTACCCAGGAGAAAAACCTTATATCTGTAGTGAATGTGGGAAAAGCTTCAACCAGAGTCTTTATCTTATTGAACATCAGAGAATTCATACTGGTGAGAAACCCTACAAATGTAATGAATGTGAGAAAACCTTCAACCATAGATCATCCCTTCTTTCTCATCAAAGAATTCACACTGGAGAGAAACCTTACAAATGTAACGAGTGTGAAAAAGCATTTAGCAACAGTTCAACCCTTATCAAACATCTAAGAGTACACACTGGAGAGAAGCCCTACCGGTGTAAGGAGTGTGGTAAAGCCTTCAGCCAGTGTTCCACCCTGACTGTACATCAGAGAATTCATACTGGAGAGAAACTCTATAAATGTAGTGAATGTGAGAAGGCCTTCAACTGTAGAGCAAAACTTCATAGACATCAAAGAATCCATACAGGTGAGAAACCCTATAAATGTAATGAGTGTGGGAAAGGTTACAGCCAGTTTACATCTCTAGCTGAACATCAGAAACTTCATACTGGAGAACAGTTGTGTAAATGCTTGGAATGTGGGAGAACCTTCACACGTATTGCAACTCTTATTGAACATCAGAGAATTCATACTGGACAAAAACCCTATCAATGTAATGAATGTAAGAAAACCTTCAACCAGTATTCATCTTTTAATGAACATCGAAAAATTCATACTGGGGAGAAACTTTATACCTGTGAAGAATGTGGGAAAGCCTTTGGTTGCAAATCCAACCTTTATAGGCATCAGAGAATTCATACTGGAGAGAAACCCTATCAGTGTAATCAGTGTGGAAAAGCTTTCAGCCAGTATTCATTCCTCACTGAACATGAGCGAATCCACACTGGAGAGAAACTCTATAAATGTATGGAATGTGGGAAAGCATATAGTTATAGATCAAACCTCTGTAGACATAAAAAAGTTCACTATAAAGAAAAGCTCTTTACATGGAAGGAATATGGGAAACCTTTTATGAACAGCTCCTCTCTTACTCCGTATCAGAGATTTCTTAGAGGAGATAAGCCCTATGAGGTTTAGTTCATCTCAAATAATCTAAGACTTCCACACGGAGAATAATCAGGAAAATTATAAATAGAATACAAACTTCTAACAATTTTAAGTCTTTTACTTCTTCTACAGGAAATATGTTAGTTACCACTAAGTAATGGTAAAATTAATCAGTGAAAATATAAAGATCCTCAACTTGTCAAGTTTTAAAAGACCCATAAATTCTAGGGTTTCTAAAAATCCACAAATAATTTTTTAATTCATAGTAAAATGTAAAAGGTCTTTTTTTAAATGATGAAAAATAATTGAACATAAGTTTTGTTTCTCTCCTTAGACCATATCCTCTTTATAAGAGTAAGCTTCAATACATAAATTTTCTCCTGAAAACAGTTATTGAGTTAATAATGTGAATAAGTATGGGACCTTGTTTTCTAAAATGATAGACTGACATAGGAAGCTTGCCTTTTCATAAGGAGATGCCAAAGATAAAAAAGAATTATTTAAATTTGACTATTCACAGGGAAATAATAAAGTTCTTTATATGAGCTGCCCCAATAGCAAGTAATATACATAAGTGTACAAATACAGAAATGCATATGTGAGTGTATACATTTATACACATATAAACATGCAGTTTTGAAAAACATTTTGTCAAAGCCCTTTATGATTTAAAAAATTCAACTTTATTTAGCATTTCATTTTTAGACTTAAAATTTTGTCCAAATGAAGACTTTCTTACTTTCCTTTATCATTTCTTTTCTTTTTTAAGAGACATAGTCTTGCTCTGTTGTCCAGGCTAGGTACAGGGGTATAATCACAGCTCACTGCAGTATTGACCTGGGCTCAAGTGATCCTCCTGCCTTAGCCTGCCAAGTACCAGGGGCTGCAGGTGTACACCACAATGCCCAGCTAATTTTTCTTACTTTTTGTAAAGATGGTGCTTTACTATGTTGCCTAGGCTGATCTCTAACTCCTAGCCTCTAATGATCCTCCTGCCTTAGTCTCTCAAAGCACTGGGATTACAGGTGTGAGCCAGTGTGCCTGGCCTATGTTCCTATATTATTTCTTAATTTGATGTGTTTCTGTATAACTGAACATAATCTTATTATATTAACATAATATAATACTTGTAATAGTATTATAGAAGGTAGAATAAACTGAAGCAGTTAGAAAGACTTGTGCAAATAACTTATCTGTAGCAGAAAATATATATTTGACACTATAACAGACTGTATGTCTGGTAGCTTATTAGAGCCAAGAGAGATTTTAGTGTAATTTAATTATAGCCTTTCATTTTACTTATGTTGAATTTGAGATTAGTAGGCAAAATCAAGACTAGAATCTAGGTCTTCATCTCTGACATTGCATGATAATCATAGGCTTATTTCTGTCATCAAATCCCAAGACAACTATTTTGTAACCTGGTTGGACACAGTTGTGGTAATTTAATCAGGTGCCTTTTGATCTTTAAGGGCTTTTTTTTCTGCCTTTAATCTTAAAAATTGACTTATTTACAACCACACTTTTTTTCTTAAGAGTCCCTCATTATACCTGTTTTCATAATAGGTGTAGTTAAATCCTCAAAGCCTCCTGACATCCAGATGTTGTAAGTGCTTTGAGGGGTTTCATATAAATTACTATACATATTTTAAGAATTCTTTTGTGTAAAATTAAATATGAATAGTTTATTATTATTATTATTTTTTGAGACAGAACCTCAAGCTGTCCCCCTGGGTAGAGTGCTGTGGCATCCCAGCTCACAGCAACCTCCAACTCCTGGGCTCAAGCAAGTCTTCTGCCTCAGCCTCCCAAGTAGCTGGGACCGCAGGCACCCACCACAACGCCCAGCTATTTTTTGGTTGCAGCCGTCATTGTTGTTTGGTGGGCCCGGGCTAGATTCGAACCCGCCACCTTACGTGTATGTGGCTGGCACCTTAGCCACTTGAGCCACAGGCACTGAGCCTGAATAGTTTATTATTAAACATTCATCACTTTAATTTTTCATTTACCTGCAGGCTTTTTTCCAATTACATATTTGACTTTCACAATTGGTGTCATTTAAAAAGTTGTTCTCATACAATTAGTTGGACCTGCCTAAGGATAGTTTTAAAGTTAAACTCAAGCAGTCAATATAACTTTTTTTTTGCTTTCAGAGACAGGATCTCACTCTGTCACCCAGGTTGGAGTCCAGTGGTGTGATCATAGCTCACTGAAACCTTCCAACTCTTAGGTTCAAGTGATCCTCTCATTTCAGCCTCTTTAGTAGCTGGGACGATAGGCATGTACCACCACACCAAACTAATTACAAAAAAAAAAATTATATGTATATATATATATAGAGAGAGAGAGAGAGTCTCACTTTGTCACCCTTAGAGTGCTGTAGCATCATAGCTCACAGCAATCTCAGACTCTTGGGCTCAAGCATTTCTCTTGCCTCAGCCTCCTGAGTAACTGGGACTACAGGCATCTCTAGTCACAGTGCCTGGCTATTTTTAGAGACAGGGTCTCGCTCTAGCTCAGCCTGGTCTCAAACTCATGAGCTTAGTTGATCAGCCTGTCTCGGGCTTCCAGAGTGCTGGGATTATAGGCATGAACCACAGCACCCAGACTTGGGATGCTTTACTAAGAAGAATGTGTTCCACCTCCATCCAGGTTTATACAAAAGATGTAAAGTCTCCATCTTTTTTAGTGGCTGAATAATATTCCATGGTATATATGTACCACAGCTTGTTAATCCATTCCTGGGTTGGTGGCCATTTAGGTTATTTTCACAGTTTGGCGGTTGTAAATTGAGCTGTGATAAATAGCTTAGTGCAATTGTCCTTATGACAAGGGTTTTTTCTTTTCTTCTAGGTAGATGCCCAGTAATGGTATTGCAGGATCAAATAGGAGGTGTAGTTTGAGTTCTTTGACAATTTGCCATATTTCCTTTCAAAAAGGTTGTATTAGTTTACAGTCCTACCAGCAATGTAAAAGTGTTTCCTTCTCTCCACATCCGCCCCAACATCTGCAGCTTTGTGATGTAGGCCATTCTCGCTGGGGTTAGGTGATATCTTGAGGTAGTTCTGATTTGCAATTCTCTGATGATTAGGGACAATGAGCATTTCATCATGCTTGCTAGCCATTCATCTGTTTTCTTCAGAGAAGGTTCTGTTCATCTCTCTTGCCCATTGATATATTTGATTGTTGGCTTTTTTCATATGGGTTAATTTGAGTTCTCTGTAGATGCTAGTATATCAAGCTTTTGTCCAATTCATAATATGTATATATCTTCCCATTCTAAAGGTTGTTTGCTTTGGTGGTTGTTTCCTTAGCTGTATAGAAGCTTTTCAATTTAATTAAGTCCCTTTTGTTTGTTTTTCTTGTTGCAATTACTGGAAGTCTTCATAAAATCTTTCCCCAGGAGATATCTTCAAGTGTTTTCCCCACACTTACTTCAAGGATCTTTATGGTTTCATGCTTTAGATTTAAATCTTTCATCCATATTGAATCAATTTTTGTAAGTGGCGAACTTATTAGAAAATACTATTTTATGTGTTTATTTACAGGGAAAATGAGGCTTTTAAACAGTTCTCAATGTTTAATGTTGTACCCAGTAGCTATGAGCATTCTTAATACCCCAGTTTTGGTTTTTAAGTGCCATTCCCCCACTGGAAGGAACCAGGGCTCCTTGGAGAAATGGCTGATTACATGTTTGGAGCTGGAGAAGTGTACCATGTGCCTGTTCTACCTTTTAATAAAAGGGGGAAAAGCCAAATACCAGTAGGGTGATGTAAGAAGGACACCAGCTGATTTGAAAGTGCACCCACAATTCATACATCAGAAAGAATCATCACTGTAATTGATAATAACACTAAGAAGGAAAAGGAGCCCATGGTAATGAAAAATAGGGAACAAAAGCTCTTTTAAAGTTATTTGAGGCTTGGTGCCTGTGGCTCAAGTGGCTTAGGCGCCAACCACTGTACACCTGAGCTGGCGGGTTCGAATACAGCCCAGGCCCACCAAACAACAATGATAGCTGCAACCAAAAAATAGCCGGGCGTTGTGGCGGGCGCCTGTGGTCCCAGCTACTTGGGAGGCAGAGGCAGGAGACTCACTTGAGCCCAGGAGTTGGAGGTTGCTGTGAGCTGTGATGCCATGGCACTCTACCCAGGGAGACAGCTTGAGGCTCTGTCTCAAAAAAATAAATAAAATAAAGTTATTTGAAGAATGCCATCCTTTATTTGTACACAGAAGGAAGGTGTGGGAAAATTACCATTTTACAACCCTCAATGTATAATAATTAGTCTGGCAAAATTCTATGGATGATAAAACCCATTAGGTAAAAAATATTTCTAAGGACCATTGTTTATGTGGTGTCAAAAAATCACTGATGCCAGTTGCAAAAGATTGTCTTTGTGGTGGGACCTGACTGTCAAGCTGAGTGGTACTACTTGTGGAATAAGCATAAGACATTCTACATCCCTGATAGGATGTAAAGTAGAGCATATATGATTATCTATGATACAGTGCCAAAATAACTAGCCAAAACCTAATTAAATCTTACCTACACTTATCTTCCCTTATAAAGAAATACAAAGAATAGAGGGACAAATTGAATTACATAGTGTCTAAAAACAGACAAATCCAGAGTTTATACAAGACAACTGATGTGGACTTCTGAAAAAGCCAATGTAATAAAACAAAAAGTGGGATTCTTCTAGATTAAGGCAAGATACATAACGAAATACAAAGTGTGATCCTTTATTGGCTTCTGATTCAGGGAAAAAAAAAACAGTTGTGAAAAACATTTGGAAAGATAATTGAGGATGAAGTAAGATGGAATGGGTATTAGATAATGTGGTATATTTAACTTTTCTAGGAGTGATAATGGTCCTGAGGTTATATAGAATAACATTCTTAGGAGAGGCATGCAGAAGTACTCTTAAGTTTGAAAAGTCATGATGTCTATAGCCTATTTTCAAATAAAGATATTAGTTAACTGTTCTTTGTGGTGGATATGGAGATGTTCATTGGTCATTTGATAGACTTTTCTGTCTGTTTAAACTTATAATAAAAATTGAGGAAAAAAGTGATTGGATGAAGTGAATGTGAAATTTCCACTCAGAATTCTCCCTGTATAGTCTCAGAGAAAAAATAATTGTTTGAGAGTTTATCTTCCAAGGATGCAGTCATTGAAAATAAAATAACTTTGGGTGGCACCTGTGGCTCAGTGGGTAAGGTGCTGGCCCCATATACCAAGGGCAGTGGGTTCAAACCTGGCCCCGGCCAAATTGCAACAAAAAATAGCTGGGCGTTGTGGTGGGCACCTATGGTCCCAGCTACTCAGGAGGCTGAGGCAAGAGAACCGCCTAAGCCCAAGAGCTGGAGGTTGCTGTGAACTGTGAAGCCACAGCACTCTACTGAGGGCAACAAAATGAGACTCTGTCCCTAAAAAGAAGAAAAGAAAAGAACTTTGTATTAGTACTGATTTGCCTTTAAATGGCATGGGGACAGTCTATTTTCTCTCATACTAAAGATAAGTGATGCATGGAGCAGTTGTGCAGGGAGCCTAAAGAGCAATGACTGCAGGCACATTTGGGAAGGAATCTAGAATTTGAATTAAGACCTTTCTGGAACTCCTAGTCATTCTTGTGGTGAGGACAGTGATGGTTG